TAATAATAAAAATTACCAAAAAAAAAATCCAATAGCTACACACATGTTTCTTCAACTAAAGACTCAGTCCCAATCGAATTTTTTAAAAACCCAGCCCAGCACACCAAGCCCTGACTGGCTCGAAGAAGAGGCCCCCAGTCCACAGTTCACTGCCACCATAACCGGATCATCACAGATGGAGAAAATATTGAAGTTGTTAAAAATTTCATTGTACTTGGATCCACAATTAACACCTTTTGCACCAGGAGTCAGCAATCAAAGATGAGTTGCTGCAGAAAATTCTGCTGTCAGGGACTTCTTCAGAGGACTAAAAAAAAAAAACACATCAGTCTAGAGACTAAAGTACATGTGATCCAAGCCATGTTTTTGGCAATTGCTTGCTATGCATCAGAGCTGGACAATGAATAAGGGTGACAGAAGAAGAATCAATGCCTTTGAGTTGTGGTGCTGGAGAAGAGTATTGAACATACCAAGAAAGCAAACAAGTCTGTCCTTGAGAGGGTAAAACCAAGTTGCTCCCTAGAGGCAAAAATATTGAAATTCTGTCTCACATACACTGGGCATGTTGGCAGGAGGGACTAGTCCGTGGAGAAGGACATCAGGCTTAGAAGCGTAGAGGGTCAACACAGTAGAGGAAGATCCTGGATAAAATGGACTGATATAGTGACTGTGCCAGTGGGGTCAGATATGTCAGAAATGGTGAGGCTGGCTCAGGATAGGGCAAGGTTCAGCTCCAATGTTCACAGGGTCACTATGAGTTGTAGTCGACTTGACAGCACATAACAACATTATCTTTTATTAAGTTGTTCAATTTTTAAAAATATAATTAGCTTCATCTCATGCATAAAAAATTGTCAGCAGTTGACCTGCTTGCAATCACAGAAGCCAAGAAAGCTTCAGATACAAGCTGTCAGATCATAGGTTGGACAATGGAAGATAAATTCTGAAGGGATTTGGTAGAAATGAAGGGGTATCCTGGTGGAGGAAGGAGCTGGGAAAGAAGTGGGTCAAGGCACTGGGCTAAGGACAGGGACAACACTGTAACTAATGGATAACTCCACAATGAGGGATTTATCTTTCATTGCTCCACAAATTGCTTATCTGTCAGATACTTCTCTAAATCTAAACATTCAGATTAAGATAGACTAAGAAGAAGAATTGGCCATCCACTTCTGAAATAGCAGGCCTCTGAAAACCCTATGCACAACAGAACACACGTAGACTAACAGAAAGGGTAACCTAGGCAAAACTTTCAAGTATGG